ACCCCCTTGGAAAGCTGGTTGACAGTCAAGTATTCCCTCCTGGAAAACAAGGAAGCCGTCGGCGGTGGTCCCGAGCAGCTGCGATACGAGCCAGCCTCACCGTACGAGCTCCCCTCGGCTTTCCAGAGCCCGGAAGAGGGCATGGAGGAGGAAGACGGGGCGGGCGAGCTGAGCAGGGCCGGAATCGAATGCAAGAAAATCATGAAGATCCGGAGGAGGAAGATGAACAAGCACCAGTACAAGAAACGGATGAAACGGAACAGATTTTTGCACAGGAAAATCAGAATTACTCGGATGAGGAAGAAACAGGTGAGTTGAGGCTTTCTCCATATTCTTTTCAGAACCGCACCTTTGACACGGTTGCGGTGTGTTGTCTGGACATGGGAATGCCAATCGTGATGAATCAGACCTCGGTTGAAACCTCTCACCCTGCCCTTTCGCTCATGGGTTAAGCCTTGTGGGTGGACACTCGCCATCACCTCCCCCACAGGGCTGGTCTGCGGGTTTGGCCTTTAGTTCTTTGGAGAAAAGGAGAGATTAAAATGGAGAAAAGACCCTAAGCCATCCTGGAAGCTGCTGCTTTGAGCCAAATGCTGCAAATCAGCTGGGTTTGCCCCTCTGTCTATGGGATGTTTCCCCGTCATGACAGCGGCGTTTCCGAATCGAGGTCTTGTGCTTCCTTCTTGTTATTTTTTTATCATAACTGCTGGATGGCTCAACGGTTTAGTGCTCTGGCTGTGGGGTTCGATCCCCCGCTGTGCCTTCCTTGATCACGGCTGGACTCAATCTATAGGACCCCAGGTCTGTAGTTCTATGATGATGATGATGATTACTATATTATATATTTTTGTCTTGTCTTTCTAGAAAAGGTTTGAACACGAACTGCTACAGTATGCCAAGAGATTTGGATTGAGTAAACTCCCAGAGGGATGGGTGACTCCCAAGCTGTATTTCGGGGACCGAAATTCCAAATGAAGTTGCTTTGAATGGGGGTTTTCTTGTTTTTAATTAAATAGTATTTAAAGCAGACGTTGACTCTATTTTCTCTGGGTTTTCCCCCCTTTCCTGGAATGCTGCGATCTTAGTGTTGTGGTGCTGTTTTGGAAGGAGGGGCGCTTCCATTCCTTACAAGAACTCTCTAAAAGGAGGTCAGTTTCAGAGCAACTAGGAAGAGAAGACAGTGTTGGGCACTGGTTAGAGTACAGGACTATGACTTAAAAAGATCGGAGTTTGAATTTGTACCAATGGGGAGGAATACAGCCACAGAGGCCGTGGGATAGAAATGTTAGACAAAAATATAACTTTTTTCCCCCTGAAATAAAAACTTGGCTGGATAGCTCAGTTGGTTGAGAGTTTCAGAGCAACTAGGAAGAGAAGACAGTGTTGGGCACTGGTTAGAGTACAGGACTATGACTTAAAAAGATCGGAGTTTGAATTTGTACCAATGGGGAGGAATACAGCCACAGAGGCCGTGGGATAGAAATGTTAGACAAAAATATAACTTTTTTCCCCCTGAAATAAAAACTTGGCTGGATAGCTCAGTTGGTTGAGGTCTCTGGCTGTGGATCCAAAGGTTGGGAGTTCGATTCCCCCACTGGGCCTCCTGAGAGGAGAGCCAGGGCCGGAATCGAATGCAAGAAAATCATGAAGATCCGGAGGAGGAAGATGAACAAGCACCAGTACAAGAAACGGATGAAACGGAACAGATTTTTGCACCGGAAAATCAGAATTACTCGGATGAGGAAGAAACAGGTGAGTTGAGGCTTTCTCCGTATTCTTTTCAGAACCGCACCTTTGACACGGTTGCAGTGTGTTGTCTGGACGTGGGAATGCCAATCGTGATGAATCAGACCTCGGTTGAAACCTCTCACCCTGCCCTTTCGCTCGTGGGTTAAGCCTTGTGGGTGGACACTCACCATCACCTCCCCCACAGGGCTAGTCTGCGGGTTTGGCCTTCAGTTCTTTCCAGAAAAGGGGAGATTAAAATGGAGAAAAGACCCTAAACCATCCTGGAAGCTGCTGCTTTGAGCCAGATGCTGCAAAGCCGCTGGTCTTGCCCCTGTGTCTATGGGATGTTTCCTCATCATGACAGCGGGGTTTCCGAATCAAGGTCTTGAGCTTGCTTCCTTCTTGTTATTTTGTTATCATAACTGCTGGATGGCTCAACGGTTTAGTGCTCTGGCTGTGGGGTTCGATCCCCCGCTGTGCCTTCCTTGATCACGGCTGGACTCAATCTATAGGACCCCAGGTCTGTAGTTCTATGATGATGATGATGATTACTATATTATATATTTTTGTCTTGTCTTTCTAGAAAAGGTTTGAACACGAACTGCTACAGTATGCCAAGAGATTTGGATTGAGTAAACTCCCAGAGGGATGGGTGACTCCCAAGCTGTATTTCGGGGACCGAAATTCCAAATGAAGTTGCTTTCAATGGGGGTTTTCTTGTTTTTAATTAAAAAGTATTTAAAGCAGACATTGACTCTATTTTCTCTGGGGTTTTCCCCCTTTCCTGGAATGCTGTGATCTTAGTGTTATGGTGCTGTTTTGGAAGGATTATTATTTATTATCCTTAAAACACTGCTACATAACCTGAAGAAATCTATTGGACCTACAAAAGCTCTCAGTTCATTTGACTCTTTAGTCAAATGCATCGCCTGCTCTTGAATTTGTGTCATTTTAAGGACCCCACAGCCTTTTCCTTGTTTTTCCAAAAATATGAGTTAACTATTCTGAGAAACAACTTTCTGGACAACCAGCAGGGGGCGTCCTCACACAAGGGATCCGGGCGTCCACTATCCCAGTGCTTACACTGAAGACATCCAGCAAAATAAATTTTATTTTACGTATTTAAAACATTTCTAACCCGCCTTAGAAAGGACCCAAAGCGTCTTACGTATACAAATACTAAAAAGTATCAAACAATCGTCCACTCTAAAAAAACGGTCAACAAAAGTAACACCAGAAACACGTTCAAAGCAGTTAATGCATACCAATCTGTAAAAAAAAAACAACAAACCATTCAGGCAGTGAGTCACTTGGGGAAACTTTGCCTGAAGAGAAAGGTCTTCTCCTGCTTGCGGAAGGACAGCGACAATGGGGCCAGCCTGGCCTCCAGTGGGAGGGAGTTCCACCGTCTGGGAGCAGCCACCGAGAAGGCCCTCTCCGGGGTCCCCACCGAACACACTAGGGAAGTCTTCTTAACACTCGAGTCAACTCGTAAGACGGAGACCGTCCTCGAGACAATTTTCATTTGGATTTCTGTGCTGAGCAGGGGGTTGGCCCCCATAGACTTACTGGGCCCCTTTTCCATCCGGCGCTTCGAGGTGTCTACGATTTTCTTTGACCTTTTCATCGTTTCGACCCTACAACGATGGCGCAGCAAGTGATCAAAAGCCCAGGCACAGCCCTGCCGACCGAACCTCGGGGTGTGTCGTACCAGGCAATCCCGAAATCCCCTGGGACGACGGATTTGGGGAGTTACAATCCCCTCCAATCTCTTCCCCCGTCCCCCACCATCACTCACCCCTAACCTCTTCCCCAAGACACATTTCCAAGCTTTCCTTTCCAACCTCGCCAGTTTTCTCACTTTCTACGCCCCCGCGCCCCCTTCCTTTTTACAGCACCTTTTACACAAAGCAGCCTTTCAAGCCGAAACAGGGTTGCGTCCCCCTCTGTCTCACACACACACTCCTCCCGACAGAGCGAACCGGTTCCTGGCTGGAAAATTTCTGAGCCCCCCCCCCAAGTTTCAGATGCCCAGGAACCTGTCA